ATAAAGATTAAGGAGATATTTTATTAATTATTCAAAATATTGTGTATATTTTATACTTCTAGAACATCTCAATTTGGACTAGCCACATTCTTTTTTTAAAGGATCTTATCTTACCTGATCTTAGAGAGTGCCAGCAGAGGAGAGGGGCAGAGGAGGGGGATTAGGGGAGGGAAGGGAGAAGAAGTGCGAAGGAGGGAGAGGGAGGGAGAAGGAAGGAGAAGGAGGAGGCTGGGGGGAGGGAGGGGGAGAGAAGGAGAAGAGAGGGAGAGAGGGAGAGGGGGAGGGAGGGGGAGGGAGGGGGAGGGAGGGGGAGGGGGGGAGAGAGGGAGAAGGAGAGAGAGGGAGAGGGAGAGAGAATGAATCCCAAGAAGGCTTCACCCTCAGCACAGAGCCTGACGTGGGGTTCGATCCCATGACCCCAGGATCGTGACCTGAGCCAAAACCAAGAGTCCATCATTTGACCTGCTAAGTGACCCAGGTGCCCCTGGACTAGCCACATTCCAAAAGCAGAAAAGCCATAGTAGTTAGTGACTACTGTATTGAAGAGTACACCTCCAACATGGCTTTATCTTTTAAAGAATGTGAAACTTTGTGATACTCAATTTCTTCTTACCAGCTCCCTCTCCCCACCCAACACTCAAAAAAACAAAAACAAAAACAAAAAAACAAAACAAAAAAAACCACTATGGATGACTGTGTGTTTGGGGTTCCTCCAGATTCCAATGTGTCACTCTAGCTCATGACCAATAAATGTCCCTTGATTTATTCCTTTCCACAATAAAATATCCCTGCTTATAGCAGATAAGGCAAATAATTCCAAAGGTGAAAAGTGCATCCAGTCTCCATACACCTAGAACAGGTATTTCTCTTTCTGGAATTTAATTCCTCTGGACCAATTTGTGACATCAATCTTTGATTTAAAACGATCGGCTCTATTGAGATACAATTTACATCCAATAAAATTGATCTTTTTGAGGTGTATAATTTAGTTTTTTGTATATTCTCATTGCACTCACTATACGTCACTCACTGTACAAGTACTCACTGGACAAATTATTGTACATCACCACTATCTAATTCTAGAACACTACTATCACCCCAAAAAGAAATTCTATACCCATTAGCAGTCATTCTTCTCTTCTGTCTTAGCAACCACTCTTCTACTGTCTCAATGGATGTGTCTGTTCTGGTCATTCCATTTAAATATAAATAGAATCATATAATATGTGGCTTTTTTGTCTGGTTTCTTTTACTTTGCATGTTTCCAAGGTTGATCTATGTTAAAACATAGACTTTATTCCTCTCTATGGCAGAATACTATTCTATTACATGAGTATACCACATGTGTTTAGCCATTTGTCAACTGAAAAACCTTTGGGTATTTTCCACTTCTAGCTATTATGAGTAGTGCTGCTACGACCACTGTGGGTATGCGTTTGTGTGACACAGTTTTCAATCACCTTATGTTTAACCTTATGAGGTGTTTCTCGCAGTAGCAGCACTATTTTACATTCCCACGGAAATGCATGAGGGTTCCAATTTCTCCACATCAGTTGTCTTTTTTATTATAGCCATCCTACTGGGTATAGTTTTGACCTGCATGTCTCTAATGACTAATTGGGTTGAAAATCTTAACACATGCTTATTGGCCATGTTTCTATCTTCTTTGCATATTTATCTATGCAAATCCTTTGCCCATTTATTAATTGGGTTGTTCTTCTATTATTGGCTGTAAGAGTTCTTTATGTATTCTGGATACAAGTCTCTTATCAGATATATGATTTGTAAATATTTTCTCATTCTATAGACTGTCACTTTCTTGACAGAGTTCTCTGTAGCACAAAAATTTACAATTTTGATAAAACTGAACTTACCTATTTTTTTTCTTTTGTCCCCTCCTCAGCTTTTGGTGTCATTTTAAAGAAGCCATTACCTAATCCAAGGGCACAAAGATTTATTCCTTTCCTTCCTCCTATAAATTCCAGAATTCTACTTCTTATATTTATATCTCTTATATTTACATCATAATTTTTATGTATGGTATAAGGTAAATGTCCAAATTCATGTAAATATTCAGTAGTCCGAATACTATTTGTTGAAAAGACTGTGCTTCACTACTGAATTATCTTGGGTTATCAAAAACCAATGGATAGTAAATGTGATGGTTTGTTGGTGGAATCTCAATTCCATTCATTTATATGTATCTATCCTCATGCCAGTATTCCATTGTCTTGATTACTACTGTTTTATCCTAAGTTTTGAAATCAGGATGTGTCCACCTTCCAACTTCTTCTTTTCCAGTATTGCTTGGGCCTATTGAATTTCCATATGAATTTTAGGACCAGTTCTGTCAATCTCTGCCAATAAATTAGCTGAAATTTTGATGTGTGGATTATGATGAATGCAAATTATTTGGGCGAGTACTGCCATCTAACATTAATTAAGTCTTCTGATCTATGCACATGGGATATTATTTCATGTATTTAGATCTTCTTAAGATTCTTTGTACATAGGATATGATTCCATGTATTTTAGATCTTTAATTTCTTTCACCCACGTTTTGTAATTTTCAAAGGGTTAAGTTTTGCACATCTTTTGGTAAATTTATTCATAAGTATTTAATTCTTTCTGATGCGATTATAAATGTAATTATTTTCTTAATTTCACTTTTAGGTAGTGCATAGCTTACTGTTACTATGAGCTGACTTTTATAATTTGATTTTGTATCCTGCAACCTTGCTGAAGTTACTTGCCCAAAAGTTTTCCAGTGGATTCCTTAAGATTTGGTATATACAAGATCATGTCATCTACAAAAAGACAGTTCTACTTCCTCCTTACAATCAGGGTGTCTTTTATTTCATTTTCTTGCCTAACTGCCCTAGATAGAACCTCTAGTGTAAGGCTACATAGAAGTGGCAAGAGCAGATATCCTTGTCTTGTTCCTGATCTTAGGGAGAAAGCAAATAGTTTTTCACCATCAAATATGTTAGTTATGGATTTTTATAGATGCCACTGATCTGGTTGAGGAAGTTAGAAAAGTCAAGAGAGAAATAAAAAAAACACTAAGAGCAGATTAAAAGAAAGAGGAAGTAAAAATATGCAGTGGGAGAGTGCAGTGACTAAATGATATGATCAAGGAGAGGGACTAAATGATAGAAATACAAATCTAAAAACAGTTCTGAAAGGAATTCATAAAAAAAAATTCTGAAATGCTCTGCCTTAAGTGTATGCTTTTGGAAAATCATGCAAAAATTCTGTGCACCTTGGTTTGTCAATTATAAAAAAAACTGGGGCATTTATTCTATAAAGTACCTTTTTTGTACTTTGTATGTACTTAGTACATATTTTTATATATTTTGCATGTTTCAGGATATGAGGCACTGAAGATCTAAAAGAGATACTATGTTATTTACACTTAATTCACTTTTTGGCTTTATATTTCCATATTCTACAAAATAATTCAGGTAGCGAAACAGGGAAGGAAACGAGATAGGGAAAGAAGGTAGAAAGTAAAGAAAAAGAAATATAGAAAAGGAAAAGATAAAGAATAAAGATACAGAAAGGGAAGGAAAAAATAAGCATGAAGAAAATATGGAAAGTAAATACGGACAGCGACTGAGAAAAAATAGTTCAAGGACAATGAGAAGAAAGCAATGACAAACAGGCCTAAGGGAGCCATATCTTCACAAATGACTTCTAAGGAGCCAGAATGTGGACAGGGCAGAGGAGGAAAGGAGTTCACTTTATTGATGGTGATAAGATCTTTTAATAGAAAACATATTTCTTTCACCATAAGTAAGACCCTCTTTGAGGGCCGCTTACTTACACCTGAAAACCTTTTCAAATGTTAGAAGATTAAATTATTTTCGCCCAGAAAAAATTCTACTGTAATCCTTCCCCTAGATACTGAGAGAGTAAACAGTTATGAGTTGTGATCTTGTGTCTACCATCATCACTTAACCAGAGACAGCTATTGTTTTGGATCCTCAGTTTCCTTATCTATAAAATAAGGCAGCTGGATTAGAAAATTCCAAAGGCCTCCTTCAGTTCTCACATTCTGAGATTCTACGTAAGCTAGCAAAATAAGAACTTATTTAAGGGATGAATACTATAAGCTACCAACAAAAGTAATACAAGAAAGAGAACATGATATGTAATTCAAAAGAAAAAAATATCAAATAATGGAAAAATTTGAGACAATCAAATCCCTAGGTCTGCTTAAAGTAAAAATTGCTATCAACCTCTAGGTGGTAAGTGCATTACAAAGATCAGAATCTTTCCTAACGGTAACATTTCTTGGAGAACAGTAGGAATTTATTTTTAAAAGAATGACACCACCTCATCTGAGAAGCAGACCAGCAGGATGAATAAGAAGACACTTGTTCATCTGTACTTCTGTGATTTTTCTCACTTGGTATTATTTGCAACTGCACTTTTATGTCTGACAGCAGTGCCAGTATGAATGATGTATTATTTTTATCATGTTGATTACACATGTTCACCAGTTTAGTTGTCCATATATGCTTGGTGTGGTTTGCAAATACTCAGTGACAAAATCCAGAGCATGGCATTTTCACAGAAAGTGTTTACTGTGAAATTTCTCCTTAGAAGTTTGCTTTTCTTTACAGCTTTGATCCACATGACATCCACAGACCTACGTTTCAAATAATGGCTTTTAGTTAAATTAAGAAAATGACTGCAGTAGGATGTGGTAGTTCTGGAGCGAACCTCAGTTTCTTATGTGATTAGAGATTTGGTCAAATTTAAAGTCTGCTAAAATTTTCCAAACTGCGCTTCTTCAGTTTTATGGGGCCTCGGTACTTACATTCTGTTATTCATCAACACTTCACAGAAATACTTGATTTGTCTGAATGAATTTAAAAACCCACAACTGAAGAAAATCAGAAAAACCTGGTTTTAAATATCAAAAGATCCCAAATGAAAAGTATTTCTACAGGCCACACTAAGCAAGTTTTATTGATCAGTGTACTTCTTTGCAGGATGAAATTGCTGCAAGATCGAAGATAACAAAATAAACTTACTGGTAAATATCTTTCCTGAGGACAGTTCTGCCAAGGGGATTGTCAGCTTGGGGAGCCATAGCAACAGAGCCAATCTTCAAAACCATGGTGTCTTCTTTTGCTGCCTGATTAACTGTAATAAAAGAAATTGATTCATGAGGTATTCAGTGGGTCTGTGTGTACTTTATGCATATGGAGAAATCTAAATAATGGGTAGAGACACATGAAGATAAAACCAATAAATGAGGGCAAGGAAAAAATTATGTGAAAAATAAAAATATTTGAGGCTTTTGAGAACTACTTCCTTTATATCCCATTAAGTAATTTTCTGTTGTGCACAATTAAAATGATAATTAAAAAACCCAACAACTCCATCCCAACATTAAAACATACGATGTTAACTACGTATGAGTAGTGTTAAAGTAGTATGTTTCTCAAATTTCATAATCTTATGCTACTACATCTTTCTCCCAAGTACTGTCAGCCCTGGGTTTTTGACACTGCCATTGCAGTGTATGCATATATTATTGTCAACAAAGATATTAAAGGTCACTACAAGGTCAGTGACAGATTCTCAAACCATTTAAATCTACATGACAAATAATAATTAAATACAATACACACACACATATGTACACACATGGTCACAGCACTTCAATTTCTGACTTCTAACATGTCAGAAATTCCAAAAGAAATATAATGGCTGCCAACAGTAAAGAAAAAAACAAAACAGGTAATTGTTTAATATACAAGGACATTTCAACGTGTTATTCTAGGCACTTTTTAATTTAAGTAATTTCTACTGTGAAATTGCTTGAGAAATAATTTCATACCTATGTAAAACTTCCACCTCCTAATGGAATCTAACACTAAGGTAAGTAATCTCAGAAAACAATAAAAAATGAAAAACAATATATATATATATATATATATTTAAATTCTGATCCTTTGTATTGAATAAAGCAACAGTATTTTGCCATGTTCTTATAAAGTTTAACAATTTTTCTGGAAATCACTGGCTAATTCAATGTCTTTTCTAAGGACCATTTGAAAATGGATAAGGGTTCTTCATGGCCCCATTAATTTATATTAATATAAATTTATATTCTACTCCCTCTTGTCCCACAGATGATGCCATTGTAGTAGCTTTCAAAAATTGTTTAAAATTGCTAACAATATACAACTTTGTGGCTTTTGAAGAAAACACATACTCAAACTCATCGTTTCTCCCAAGAAACTATCATCTGCCACAAATGGAACAGAACAGGACTGCCTGCAAGACCTCGGGAATATCCTGAACAGAACACGCCTACAAAGGCATACAATCCATATTTCCCAAACTGTGGTGCCCAAAGAATGCAAAAGCTAAGAGATTATTTCCAGCTGCTTCAGCAGTACACTCAGTATGGTCTGACTTAGATTAGACTAAAAAAGAAAGTCAGAATTAAGAAAATCAGAAAAAGTTAGAAGAAAGATACTCAGGAAAAGAAGGAACCAGGATAAGATGTACATAAAGGGAATGGCAAAACAGCTGGGAGGTGGGGGTCACAAGGACAGAAAAAGGGGGAAAAAGAGATGAGCTATCATAATAAATATTAGCATGTGGATGGTGCAATAAAGACAGTACTTTTAAATGTCCACAGCAAAAAAGATCAAATAGAAAACGGCTTCTCATGCAGCTGTACTCTTTTCAAATGACTAGAGGTCTGGTTTGATTATAGGTCCTTATACTATGAACATTGTTTACATTTCACAGATCTTGCATTTTATGCCAAGCTTATCAAATAGTTCCATGTGGGGAAAACCTCTGATTAAGCAGCAGGCATCAATTAAATCAATAAATAGTAAGTCTAGAGAATAGACCATACCACAAAAGTGCAATTAGTATACTTGCTAACTGTTCTTCCAGGTTACAGATACTACTCACCATATGAAAGTCTGAAATGTAATAGAAACACTGCAGTAAATGAGGTACATATGGAAGAAAAATGACGTACTTGGTGTTACATACAAAGCCAGATCCAAGAACAGAATTCTGTTTCTGTTAGAGCCAAAAGTGTTCTCACTAGATTATACTGACTATAAAGTTTTAATAATAAAGAAAAGCACTGAATGCAGATCATTCACAAACTAAATAAAAATAATCAATTTTATTATAGAAAGTATTTAGCTTATCAAAATGTACCTTTGAGATAGAAGAAAAAATAATAAAATATGTATTTATATAAGAAAGTGCTTTGATTCAGTTCTTTAGTTACTTTATAATTAGAAAAAAGTAAGCTTCCCCTTTTTTGGTTTATTTCACCTGCATTTAATAGTTGGACCATATGAGGAAATGTTCCCTCTAGATGCATTTTCAACATGAAAATGAATGCCTTCCTTCTTTGCTTAAACTGTATTTTTAAAAATTTAGGCTCATGCGGAACTACTTACTCTAGAAGACTCATGTTAGATCCAAAAAACAGTCCTCTATTCTGAAATAAATAGCTTAAACTGGAAGTCAAACACCTGTAGATTCAGGATCTTGATAATGATTGCACATAATGCAAACAATATTCAAGTTGAAAACCAGACTTTCAGTATCATTTGTTTAAATAAAATATTAGAATGTTAAGTATATTTTTCTTATTATTAACTGATTTTACACATGAACTATTAAAAACTTTTACAGTTAATGTAATGTGAAATATAAGTCTGAAAGATTGTAACTTTTCTTGGTGCAAGAAGAGTGTGTATTGAAAATGAAAACGTTACGAACAACTTTGAAATTATGAGCTTAAGTGACCAGAACCTGAAGTTTAAATAAAGAGCAGAATTTTCATGCAATTGTTGGATAACATAAGACTGTTATTTATAAATAACTTTTCATAAATCCAGCAAGAAATAAGTGTTTCAGAGACTTCTTCCTTTAGGATTCTCAATATAAACTCAACAGAATAAAACATCTCAAGTCCCAAGAGTATTTGAACTTGCCTCTGTGCAATGTTACACTTTTATAAACCCCTAATTGTAGTGACAACCCTACACAAAGCTATCATGGGTGAATTAATCATTTGAATTAAGAGCAGCAATGATGAAAGACGAAGTGTCAAAAAACATGTAGAATGTGCCAAAAGTTTTGAATATTTGGCATGCAATATAACTACAGAAGGCTATCTACCTACCTACCTACCTACCTACCTACCTACCTACCTACCTACAAGATATATCTATATAAATTATAGACAGGCACATTCTAGAAAGTCATTACTTCTCAGAGATAGTTTATAGATATAAGTACAGCTGACCCTTAAACAACAAGGGTTTGAACTGTGCAGGTCTGCTTATATGTAGATTTTTAAAAATAAACATATTAGAAAAATTTTGGAGACTGGAGACAATTTAAAACAACGCTGATGAGCTGTGTAACCCAGAAATACTGAAAAAGTTTAGAAAAAGTTAGGTACTATTGTAAGAATACTGCATAGAATACATATGACATATAAAAATATGTGTTAACTGACTGTGCTATTGGTAAGGCTTCCTATCAACAGTAGGCAATTAGTAGTTAAGTTCTGGAGGAGTCCAAAGTTATACGTGGATTTTCAACGGGGGCAAGGGGGCTTGGTGCCCCTAACCTCCGCATTGTTCAAGGGTCAACTATATAGGTATAAGATATATACATGTAGATATAAATACAGATATACACATAGACATAGACACACACAGAGGCAGAGGGAGAGAAGAAAAGAGAAGAGATACATGCAATACAACGTAGTCCAGACAAAAGACTTAATACACAAAGAGTTCTTACTCATTGATAAGGAAAAGATGAGCAACTACCTAGAAAAAGAATGCAATTTTAATTAATGAGACTGACAAAAACCCAAAACTCTGTTAGAATCAGAGTAAGGAAATAGTAAACTGGTGCAGCTATTTAGACAGGCAATTTGACATCCCTTAACATCTTTTTTTTTTTTTTTTTAGAATTTTTTTTTTCAACGTTTATTTATTTTTGGGACAGAGAGAGACAGAGCATGAACGGGGGAGGGGCAGAGAGAGAGAGACACAGAATCGGAAACAGGCTCCAGGCTCTGAGCCGTCAGCCCAGAGCCTGACGCGGGGCTCGAACTCAGGGACCGCGAGATCGTGACCTGGCTGAAGTCGGAGGCTCAACCGACTGCGCCACCCAGGCGCCCCAACATCCCTTAACATCTTAAAGGTACATGCCCTTTGATCTAGCAATCTTTTTTGCTAGAAATTTATTTATATACATACTCACCCAAGTCATGAAAAATGCCACTAAAAAGGTGTTTACTGCAAAAAGTGTTTGTATAAAGGATTTAAATTAACCACAAGTTCACAGAGAAACAGACTATATTTTCCAAAATGGCTGTAACAAAATGCACTCTTTTTTCCATATGCTCTTATTCAAGGTTACCTGCTTAGGAAGTACTTAGGCATGTGGATTTTGAAATTCTACCTTAAAAATCCTACAATAACCACCACCAAAAAAAGAAAGAACTTTAAAAATAAGAAAGCAAAGGCTAGAAATATTTTTGCAATTCCAATCAATTGAGGATTTTCCTAGTTAAAGCAGCTGAATAGTAAATTTATTTTTTTTAATTTTTTTAATGTTTCTTATTTTCGAGAGAGAGACAGACAGAGCATGAGCAAGGGAAAGGACAGAGAGAGAGAGAGAGTGAGACACAGAATGCAAAGCAGGCTCCAGGCTCCGAGCTGACAGTACAGAGCAGAATGCAGGCTCAAACCCACAAACCATGAGATCATGACCTGAGTCAAAGTCCGACGCTTAACAGATTGGGTCACTTAGGCGCCCCATTGAATGGTAAATTTAATACAACACCAACAAAATTGTGTGATATGTAGTATTAATGATTATAATACAGTAAACCAAAAAACAAACAAAACAAACACACAAAAGAAATAAAGCTGTTTTCTCTCCCTTTTCCCAAATAGCCAGATTTTTATTCCTTCTGACATGTACACAAATCAGTGAAGCACAGAACCTGTTTCAATAAACCATCTCTGCGAATGATAGGAAAATAAAGCTAGAGTGAACTACTGAACTTCTAACCTCTGTCTCGTTGAAGAGGTGCTCAGTGTACAGGTGCTCCCATCCTTACTAAGAGTGAGCCCTCTTATATTCTGAACTATGCCTGC